CCCCAAAACCCCAAAACCCCAAAACCCCAAAACCCCAACTCACCTTAAACACATTGAATTTTCAAAATCCAAAAACCTCTTAAAACTCCTGGCCAAGCACTACTTCCAAATCATCATTATTCACCTTCAAAACTCCATCTATCTATATCAGCCACACACCAAAATACTCTCATTCTCCAATTTCCAAAACTCCTTTTTCCTCATATGTGCTGGCTTTGAGTCAACTTTTGAGCGCCGCTTTGTTGGTCTAGGTCTGACTGGGGATTTCTAGAGGGATTTAGGATAATTTTAGTGTACAGGTGGTCTTTGGAGAATGGAATAGGGGATTTTGACGCATCCTTGCTTTGATTTGGGGTTACTTTTAGGGAGTTGAGACTTGTGTTTGAAGGAAACAGGGCTTTTGGGTTCCTAATTTTTGTATTTTTGGCTTACTTTTGGGGTTTACTCTGATTTTTTTGGATATAAGAGAGATCTCAGAGAGGACACTACATGCTCTAGCGGTATTCCCGAGAATCATGTTGTTCTTATTGATCCTTGAGACTGCCCTACGAGGATTCGATTTACTGAAGTGTGGAGATTTTAGGACTTTCTGTGGTACAAATCGCATCAAATGTCTATTGTCCTTTAAAGGTGAATCTGGGTTAAGCTTTAAAGAACTTAATTTTCCTTTGGAATCCAATGGCATTTTATTGGAATACAGTTTTTCTGGATCAAATCAGCCATGTATCATTTCTCGTGATACTTTTGTATTCCTGAACCCTTTCTGGGTCTTGTGCATTTTTATGTATTCCCTAGTGCTTATTGCTAATCCTTTATCTAAAATTTGTTGTTAGATTTGAATGAGAAACTGTAAAGGTAGGGAATTAATTTTGAGTTATGGATGTACCAAATATATGATATTATTGCACTTTAAATGATCAAAGCTAACTCAGTTCTTTGTAACGAAAAGTTTGAATATCTTACTTGGAGATTCATTAGACTTTATCAATCTTCTATGAGAAAATTCTTGCTTTTGTTTTACTCGAGAGTTATTCTTTTTGGTTTGCTTCTTTTCTTCGATATTTCCTTGAGAAGAGCCTATTTAGTTTTTAAATTACCCTGTTTAGTAATTTATTTGGAATATACTGCGGATGAATTATAACGCTTGGAGATCAAAAGAAATATTTGATGGCTTGCCAATATCGTAAAATAACTTATGATTTTCATAATATAAAAATATTATCCAAGTTTAAAGACTTACATGCAGTAACATGAGGTTTTCGTTCTAGAAACATGCTTGAACGTGTATTGTTCATATTATGCTTAATAGGGGAAAGATTTCCTAATATTTTTCGTCCTGACCTACAGCAATGACTTATTTTACTTACCTTTGAGGTCTCCTAGGTTGACTTGGCCATGACTCTCTCTTAGATGCTATTCAAATTTTAAGTTAGCTTGCATCAAGGATTAATTTTAAGCGCTTTTGAAATATTTCATATCAGAACAAGAATGATGCCAATGAAGCCTTAAATTCACGAAAAAATTAGAACCCAAATAAGCCTTTAGTTTTAACCTAAAAGGTGAGTTCTTTTAGTCATTTTCCATACAGGAATAATTATATAATATTTTTTAACTACTAAATCTCTTTGGTTTATCCTATTATCGGCACCAAGGATGATTAATGTACATGTCCTTATATATGCAAGATTTTTACTATTTATTCACCCAACTAAACCCTCAAAAGTCCAAAATCTTCGTACCAGGGAACTCAAATCTGAACTTCTGTGTCTTGAGTGGGATCGGGTTATACTCTGCTCTTGCTGCTTTCTTCTGTAGCATGCGATTTTTCTACGTAAAATATTAATCTTGCATGAAATATGGCTGTTAGCAGATAAATCAGGGCCCAGAGTTCAAATAAGTATGTCTCACCAACTTTTTGTTGATCTGGATGATGAATGGTTCAACTTTGGAGCACCGTAAGCAATCGTGCTGCGTGTGATAGTTCATTGAGCAATCAGTATTATTACTAGGTTTGCCATCTTCATTGTAGAATGTTCTACGACAGCTTTTAAGGCTATGGTGGTGATGAGGACGTACTTTGAGAAAGGCTTGCTTGATAGAGGGATTTTAGGGTGTCCTGAGGGGAAAAGTAAATGAGGTGTTCAGATAGAGCATTTTATGGGGTTATAGGAATCATTTGAGGTCTGGGAGAAGGAAGAGGGGTGTATTATGGACTTAGAGGATGATTGTTGGAAATTAGGATTGGGATTTTTTGATATTTTCTTAACTCTAGATTGTCATTTTTCATGAACTATCATTGATACTAAAGTTTCATCACTTTGTGAGTCTGTTTCTGTTATGTGTGAATGATTGAGACTACTTTCCATTTTCATTTTCTATTATAAGTTTTAGAGGAGGGGTTTTGGGGTTTTGGGGTTTTGGGGTTTTGGGG